AGTCATGCACTGAAGTTCCCTGTCCCACGGTGGAACCTAGGGCAGGCCGTTTCACCACTTGTGTTGATTTACCTATCTATAGAATGGAACTAATTGCATATGCCTAAATTGCTCAGTGTAGTTCAAGTACAATAATGTGAGAAAAAGCATCTGGAAAGTTATAAAGCCTTTTATAAATAATAGGAATCCTTGCATAAAGACCAGTAGCACAAAGGTTATTCTGAGTGTGCCAGTCCAGGATGGCGTAGGCCAGTAGAAGAGCAGACTCTGTCTAATCCCATTGCAAAGGCAAAGAGGCACAAACAGTAACATGCTTTGAACAATTCACTGATCAAAGAGTAACAGGTGAATGGTTTCCTGAGGTCTGGAAATACTGGTCCTTGAAGAACGGATAGAATTTCATCAGGCAGCTAGAGGAGGTGAGAGGGGGCAGGATACTGGAACATCTGCTCATGTTTTTAAGAATCTGGGGTGCCTCTGCTTTGAAATATTTCCCAAGCCTTTAGTAAAATTGACCCCTTCCACTTTTTTGCCCCGTTTGTACTCTGTGTAAGATTTTATAACAGCACCTATGACCTACTATTTTACATATGTCTGATGGACATATTGAGATTTTGGAAGTTGAAAGATGTGATTTATTTTTTTATTTTTTTAGAGAGGGGGAGAGAGAGAGAGAGAGAGAGAGAGAGAATTGAATAGGCTCCACGCCCATTGTGGAGCCTGACAGGGGCTTGAACTCACAATCCTGGGATCATGACCTGAGCTGAAATCAAGAGTTGGACGCTTAACTGACTGAGCCACCCAGGCGCCCCTTATGTATGTATGTATGTATGTATTAAAATGTGTGATTTATTTTTAAATGGAAAATTCCTACTACATGGCGTGTGGTGGCTACCTAATATGGATTTCTCAAATCAATTAATAGATGGGGCCAAAGTCATTGGGGGTCTAAGAACCAAGATGTGACATTGTCATATCTGTGAAATTGTGTGCAGTGCAGCAAATCTAGATTATAGGGAGTTATGGGTAGGAAACTGTGGGAGATAAAGTTAAAAAGAGGACAGGGTTAGATTATGAACTCATGTTTAAAGAGTTGGGTTTAAACCTATGAACCTTACAGATTTTTAAGAGTTAATAAGCAGAGGAGTGACAAAATCAGAAAAAATGTTTTTTTCAGTTGAATTCATATTATATAAAAGATGTTAAATTCTACTTTTAAAGGAAACATTACATTATATTTATTTTCTCTTATCATTCAAAACTTCAGAAACTTGATATTCCATAATATATCTTAATATTCCATCGGGAGATGTACCATAACGTATTTAATCGGTTCCTTAATGGTGGACATTCATGTTTGTTTGTTTGTTTGTTTTTTTTGGTTATGAAAAACATACTGAAATAAATACCCCTTTGCTTGCATAAATGTCTACATTTCTGATTATCTTCTTGGGATATTTTCACAGAAGAGCAATTACTGGGTAAGAAGGAAATGAATACTTAAAAGACTCTTGATACATACTGCTATTTATCACTTTCTGGGGTGATTGTACTCCTAGAAGCAGTATATGGGGAGATTATTTCATCTAAGATCATTGGATGCTTTCATTTAAAAAATTTTAGTAACCTGATAAAAAATTATATTACTGTTGTTTTAAATTATAATTTTTTCATTAATAGTCTGAATATTTTCCTACATCTTGTTTAGATATTTGGATTTCATCTTTTTAAATAATTTGTTCACATTCTTTGCCCACTTGTGCACTGGGTTTTTAGTGTTTTTCTTATCTATTTGAATTTATTATAATTTTAAGGTATTACCCCTTTGCAATAGTGTTCCATATATATGGAACACACACACACATACATGCACACAATTTCCTTTAATTCTTTTCTTTTTTTAATGCCAAGGAGCTAATGATTTTTAAGAATTTTTTTTATTTTCTATTTCTTCTTTTCCATGTATCCATGCCTTAAGTAAACATAATAGAGTATCCTAGGTAACCTAAACTAGGATTCTGAGCTTGGCTGTTTGTGAAACTTGTGGGTGGAGCCACATCATTTATGGAGCATGTATTTATTAGAGCTGATATTCATTGTCACTTGAGGAATTGGTTAGACAAAGAATGAGAAGGTGGTCTTTGTCAGAGGTGCAAGCTGACTGACTAGTCCAGCAGAGAGAATTGAACACCACTGGTTTTCTCCTTGATTTTTTGGACCGGGTAGTAGTTCTAGGGAATGAAGGGTAAGAAAGATGATGGGGTGGATTTCTGAAAGATGCTGTAAGATACAGCTGGGTACCAGTAATTTTGCTTCCAGGCCAAGAGACAGTATGCAACCTGAGTGGGGTAGAAGGCCATTTTTTCATTCGTACATAAAATATGACACTGCCTGATGTCTCTCCCAAGTGTGTGTCTTTGGAAAACTTGGAGGAGAACATTCTAGGCATGAGGCCTGCTCATGATGTTACCTTTAGGTGTTTTATAATTATCACTCTTGATTGATACTTAAAATGAGAGAGGCTAAGGTTTTGTTCAGGGGAGAACAAAAACTGCAGATGGTTTCTGAGTGCATTTAAGGCTCTCCCTTGGCAGGTTGGGGATACTGAAGAGTACATTTAAGGCTCTCCCTTGGCAGGTTGGGGATACTGGAGAGCCCACACATATATGTTGCAAAGAAAAAAGGAATGTGGATTATTTAAGTTAGTGTGGTTGTACTTTTAGGAGGTTGAGTCTTAGAACATATAGTTAACATTTAGAAAACCTTCTTCTCCAGAAATTTGATTAATATTGAGAGATAGTTTGAATATAGAATTGACTAGACAGTGACTGATTATCTCTGTGGGGTAAGAAAAAGGAGGCTTCATGGGAATGGGCTGTGCTGGCGTTTCCAACTTGGGCAGTTGGGTAGATTCTTGACTAAATCTTTGTTGTGCCTCATGATATATCCAGGTAGAAAGTATTAGAAAGCTCTTGAATACATAAGTGGTTGAGTTTAGGAGAGAGAGTTCAGGAAGTGTGTTTGGAAATCATCGAATATGGGCAAAAGTTAAATCCATGAAAGTAGATAAGATCAACTAGGGAGAATATCATCTATTCATGCATTCATCTGATCTTTTGTTCCATGATTCATTCTTTGGCTTTTTCAGAAAAAATTTAAATCTGTGAAACTCCAAGCATTTAGGGTTTCATGTAAGGGGTGTTTCAGTTGAGCGATGGGGGAGAAGCCAGATTGTAGTGGGCTGTGGAGCAAATGAGAGGAGAGGAACTCTGGGCACAGAATTTAGGGTTGGGAAGGAAGGGGAAAAAAGAAAGATGTTGTAATCAAGACTGGGAAGCAGAGTCCTTAGAAGTGATTTTATTTTGGGTGGGGAAGAAAGAAAGGAAAAGGTTGTGTATTTATTGAGTGAGCATATATGTACCAAGCATTGGACTGACTGCTTTATGTACAATATCTCATTTAATCCTCCCCCAAACTTTTGTGAGGCATGGATTATTATTCCCATTTTGCAGATGAGGAAACTGAGGTTAGAGAGCTTGTCTGTGGTTATGGAGCTTGAAAGTGATGGTATATCCAGAAAGGTCTGTTGTCTTCAAAGCTCCCAGTGAAGACAGAGAAAATGAAGGTACAAGAATGAAGTGACTAACTGATGGAGAGAAATCTCAGAGTATGTTGGAAGGAAGGGAATCCATTCATAGGTGGTTTACATTGGAAAGGATGTGACATTTTCCTCTGAGAGAAGGAAAAAGAAAAAAGGGAGAGTATATATAGAGTTAAATAAGAAGGTAAGGAGGTAAAGACGAAAGACTTGGAAGAAATTTGTGCATGATGGTGCCTAGTTTTTAGTATAATATTATGACATCTGTTGGCAATCAGATTATGGAATTGATTTTAGGAGGATTAGGAGAAGATTAAAAGTTTGAAACTGCTGTAAGGGAGCTGGGGATAGGATAGGGAGTGGGAAAGATGATAGAACAGCTGGGTATCCCCAAAAGCCCCCTGAGGTTGGTAACTGTGTTTAGAATGGATCTAAAGACTATTTATCATGACTATTCATCATGACTATTCATCAGCCCTCTCAAGTGATCTGGGAGCAAAAATAGATGTTTTAGGGGCACCTGGGTGGCTCAGTCGTTAAGTATCTGCCTTCAGTTCAGGTCATGATCCCAGGGTCCTGGGATCGAGTCCCACATTGAGCTCCTTGCTCAGCGGGAAGCCTGCTTCTCCCTCTCCCACTGCCCCTGCTTGTGTTCCCTCTCTCACTGTGTCTCTCTCTGTCAGATGAATAAATAAAATCTTAAAAAAAAAATAGATGTTTTAGTTCTTTCAGGTTAGAGGACCACAAAGAAATACTCCTGGGGTGCCTGGGTGGCTCAGTCATTAAGCATCTGCCTTTGGGTCAGGTCATGATCCCAGGGTCCAGGGATCAAGCCCCATATCGGGCTCCCTGCTCAGTGGGAAGCCTGCTTCTTCCTCTCCCACTCCCCCACTTGTGTTCCCTCGCTTGCTGTCTCTCTCTGTCAAATAAATAAATAAAATCTTTAAAAAAAAAAAAGAAAAACACTCCTAATTCATTTGAATATTGAGTACCAGAACCTGTGCTCAAAGCTGGGGATATATGCACAAAAAAGTCAAGGGTTGCCTTTTGTGAGTAAACTGCCTATGGGGGAGGGGGAGGGGGAGGGGGAGGGGGAGGAATAGACATCTAAATACATAGTTACATTCCTGGAATTTAGGAATGATAAACAGCATTGCAGAAGAGGAAGCTGTCTGGGAGGTAAGGAGAGACATCAGAGACACCCAACTTAAGGTGGGCCTGGAAAGGGTTCTAAGAATCCATTATTTCTGGGCCTGCTACAAGTCTTGTGTGCCTTATATGACTTTCTCCTCTGTCCTGCAACAATTGAGGAATTCCAAGTGGCCTTCCGGTTTCTGGCTATTCCTTAATTGGTCAAAACATACAAAACTTTTCTCATTACAGTTGGTTTCAAAAAGGTGAAGACTCTTCCTGAATTCATGTACTTGTATCTTGAGGCTTGCATTCACTAGTCTCCAGAAAGCATGAAATAGACCAGGTAAGACTTACCCCAGGATGTGGATGGTCTAAATAAATTGTTCACTGTCTCTGAAAAACAGGGAGAATTCATGGAATACCCAGAGGTACCCAGGAAACCAGAATGAATTTTCCTCTCCTTTCCTCCTGGCACTTTGCTTCTAGATGGCACATCAGCTTTCCAACAGAAGGCCTCTGCTACCTAAAGTAGATGCTCCTGGTGACTATTTGAGAGCACATGGGAGTAGGAAATGTGAGTTTGCCTGAATACTGGATAGCTTATGTCCTTCAGCAATTTTTTACAGCCTTCAGTCAATACATTCTAGGCAGAAGCTATAGAAGTATAGAGTAACATACCTTTCTAGGTCAGACAGGTAGAAAACATTCATTTTGTCTCATAACAACAAAATGTGTTTAAAAAGTGGCCTTGGAATGATGGAGGGAGATAGTGAGTTGAATAGCTATTTCTTGCTTCCCTTAAATACAGTGCTAATATGCTTCTCAGAACTTTCTATATAAAGGCTGCAGTGTATTCTTTCTACTCTTTTCTCTGAGAATGAGTATTTTCTAGGATAAGCTTTAACTGGTGAAGCCGACTTCAAGCTTCTCATTTGCATTGTTGGGTTATGCTCTTTCATAGTTTCATGAACAATAACCTCCTACTTCTCCACAGGCTGATGGGATAATTTGCACTGCTGAGAAGATGAAAACCAAAGTGTAGAGGTTTTTTTGAAGCACGTGGTTCAGTGGAAAAGCTTCCAGCAGTGCAGGCAGTGAAGTTTTAGTTCTTTTAGATTATAGCCTGGGATAAAAAGGTCTTTCTGTAAAGAAGACTAGGTACAATCCATGTGATCGATACTTTTAGACTTAAAAGAAAACCCTTTAACAATACATTTGTTTCTCCTGTGGTTTCCTGGTAATGATGCTGGGAGAGAGAAACGTGTCTACCAGGCTTGGTTTCAACTTTGCTTGTCATTGGAATCATGCCAGCAAGGGTAGATTCCCCTCTTTTCTTCAATTATCTGATATCTCATGAATTTCCTTTATGATGTACAGTCCAGGTGATTAGCCAAAGGTAGATTATGGAAGACTGACCTTGAGAGGGGATTTTAGCCCTGACAGTCTTATTTAGGGTCCTGACTTTTCCTTGGGTGCCCCCTGTTGGTGTGTTTGAGAGCTGCAGCCTGCCGGGCCGTGCATCCCGTGCCCTCACACTGTCGGATGAGAGCTACTTTCGCAAGAGCAGTGGGAGCAGAGAGAAAAATCTGCGGGATTTTCTGATGTCCTGCCTAGAGATACTGTCTCTGTTAACACACTACTGGGTCGTTAAAGGATTGTTCCATTCAGCTTTTGCCTCTGAGACTGTTTAAGTTTAGGTGATGAGAAACTGTGGGCTTACTCCTGTACTTCCCTTAGTCACTAGTGGTTGGTAAGGGGAACCTTTCCTTTGTTTCTCTAATGCTGTCATTTGAGCGACTCCCAGGGAAAGGAAAAGTTATGATTCCCCCTAGGATATTTTTATTAGTGCTCACAGAAGAGTCTAGGCAACCCTAGGAAAGCATAATGGCAAGAACTAGTAATAAGGGATTATGCTTTAGATAACTTGGGGTGTTCAAGGTTTATTTGCTTGTGAGTGACTGACTCATGGGGTATTCTAATGGGAGCATTCTGTAATCATTACTGTTGTGTTTTCTGTAGGAAAGGCCATAATCTTAACAGATGTTATTCATATTCATGGAAATGTCTAATGCCTTTTCTTTTTTTTTTTTTTTTTGAGTTTCACTACGCCTCATACTCTATAGCCATGGAATCTGCAGTGAGCATCAGGTATAGCTGGCTTTCTATGGTGCTCCTTTTCATTCCCAATTCACCCAGCCCGGCCTCCAGAAGAGAAAGGCTGCAGTCAACTTGACATCTCAAAACACCTCCTCAGAACACCAGAGGAGTAGAAGAGGTGCACAAGTGGCTGAGGTGACAATAAACCATATTTCTTTTTCGGAAAAAAGCTTCTTCAATACTTGATAACTTCTCCTGAATTAAACAAAGCTGCTTGCTGAATTCAATTGGTTGTGCAGGGATTTCAGTGAGAGAGGCCAGCTGTGCTAACAAATAGGCCTCTATTTTTCATTTCTCCTGATAGTTCTGACAGTGTAAGTTTTGAGGCTATATTATTAGGTAATTTGAGGCTGTATAATTAGGTAATATTAAAATTTTGTCTTCCTGATCAATTGAAATTTTTAGATAAAATGACCTATTTTATCTGACCCAGAGCTCTAGTCTTAAAGTTCATTTGTATTTGTAGTTTATATAGCCAAACCATCTCTCTTTTGGTTAATTCTTACTTGACCTATCTTTTTTCCTCTTGTATTTTTACATTTAGTTTTCCTATGTTTTTATGTTTTAGATGTATCTCTCATTCAGTTTAAGATCTTCCTGACTTTTGGTATGGTGAATGATTTTTAATTGAAATGTATACGTTTTTGGGCTTTACATTATGAGATTCTGTACATTATTTAAACCTCTTGTTTTAGCAGGTCTTTTCTGACACCTCTCTGACAGGGGAAGTGGAGGTGGAGGGTGGGCCTCGCTTGTTAATTTTGGGTCAGGGATGAGAGTTCTAGTTCCTGTTAAGGTCTACACAGATACCTTCCTGGCTGGGAAAGGTAGGAGTGACTCATTACTGCTCCCCATATCAGGTGGATGGGCAGTGATGAAAATCTTGTCTTACTGCTAGGACTTCTCTGACGCCTCCGCAGAGCCTTGTTACCCCAAGACAGGGATAGAAGTATCCAGGCTTTTCATGTGATCCTTGTTGACATTGCAGAATGGGAGCTACTTCCTACCCAGAAGGATGAAGTCACAGCCCCCTCTTTGGTCTTATCTGACACCACCTCTGCAAGGTGGGGAGGTTGGAGCACCTCATTATATACAGTGTGGTGAGGGTGCAAGTCTAGACTTTCCACTCTGCCTTTGCTGCTCTGGGTGGGGCTCCAGTTTTTTCTGTGGTGGTTGCTCAGAGTTGAGCTGTCATCTAAAAATTTTCTTTCTTGGGCGCCTGGGTGGCTCAGTTGGTTAAGCGACTGCCTTCGGCTCAGGTCATGATCCTGGAGTCCCGGGATCGAGTCCCACATCGGGCTCCCTGCCCAGCAGGGAGTCTGCTTCTCCCTCTGACCCTCTTCCCTCTCATGCTCTCTATCTCTCATTCTCTCTCCAATAAATAAATAAAATCTTAAAAAAAAAAAATAAATAAATAAAAATTTTCTTTCTTATTAGATCCCATTTTTGGTCCTTTGGCTAAAGAAAGCAGGTTTTTGTTGGGGCTTTTTCTTGGACTCTATTGGTATTCCCAGCTTGCCAGCTTCTTCAGCAATAAGTCTGAGATTTACAAAGGAAAAAGAAAACCAGAGGACACCCTACTGTGTTGTTCTTTGGGTCTCAAGATTCCCTGCTTGATGTGCCTTCCTCCCTCCATCTTTCAGGGTCATCTTATGTTTGTTTTATATATAATGTCCCAACTATTTAGTTGTACTTAGTGGGAGTAGGGAATAGTAAGTCTTCAACATATTCCTGAAAGTGGAAGTCTCCAATGTGTCTTTCTTAAACAGCATTTGGCTTTCATTTTTTTAAAAATCCATTCTGATGGGTGCCTGGGTGGCTCAGTTGGTTAAGCGACTGCCTTCGGCTCAGGTCATGATCCTGGAGTCCCAGGATCGAGTCCCACATCGGGCTCCCTGCTCAGCGGGGAGTCTGCTTCTCCCTCTGAACCTCCCCCCTCTCATGCTCTCTATCTCATTCTCTCTCAAATAAATAAATAAATAAATAAAATATTTTAAAAAAATCCATTCTGAAATGATCTGTCTTCTAAATAGAACATTTAGTCCTTTTACATTTAATGTAACTCTTGATACAGTAATATACTCTACTATTTTATTTTGAACTTTCTGTCACTTCTGTTATGTTTCTTTTTTCTTAGATTAACTTTTCTTTGTTTTTCCATCTACCAGTTTAGAAACTATACATTTCATTTTTATTTATTTTTTTGTAATGGTAGTATGTATGCTTAACTTACCAAAATCTCAATTTAATTAATACCTCATTTGCTGTCTTGGACCATATGAAAGGCCTTAGACATGTTAACTCTGTTCACCCCTTTCCTAGTAAATTTTTGCTTTTTGGTGGTTTTATATTTTAATCATCTTATTTATTCTATAACACATTATGTTATAGTTTCAAATAGATTTTTTTTTTTTTTTTTTTTACTGTGCTCATTGATTTCTATGTTCATCATCTCTTCTTTGAGCTTGCGCCATCTTTCTGGGATCACTTGCTTTCTCCTTAAATTCATCCTACCAAATTTTAGTGAAGAAGAGCTGAGCATAAATACTTTTGGATTCTGTTTTTATAAAAATATCCTATTTTGTCTTTGTTCTTGATGGCTATTTTTGCTAGGTACATAATTCTATAATTTTCTCTCAGCATATTAAATACATCAGTCTAATTTAAGGCTTCCATAGTTACTGATGAGAAGTCAACTGTTAGTCTAAATTGTTGCTCCTTTGAAGGCAATTAGTCTTTTCCCTCTGGCTGCTTTTAATATCCATTTTCTTGCTTTGGTCTTCAGGTTTACTATGGTTTTGTTGGGATTTTTAAATTTTTGGATTAGAGCTCTTCAGTGGTTCTGGATAATTTTCAACTGACATTCCTTTAAATATTACCTCATCTACCTGTGTCTCATTTTTGAACTCCAAAAGATGTAGTAATGCTTTTACACTTTGATTGTTTATGTCTCTTAATCTTCTTTCTTATTTTTTATCTTTGTCCTTTTATGCTGCCTGTAATCTGGATCATTTCTTTATACCTATTTTTCAGTTTGTAAATTCTCTCGTTTATGTGTTGTTAAATTTATCCACTAGTCTTTAAATTTCACATCTACGAATTACATTTGGTTTGTTTCAAATATGCTTTGTCCAACTCACATATATTTCTCTGACTTTAAAAGTTTCTTTAAACATATTAAATATGCTTATTTCATAGTTTGTGTCTGAATTCATTATCAGAAGTCCTTTTAAATTCTTTTTTTTTTCCTGCTGGTTCTCAATCGTGGTGTTTCTTTTCCTTTTGGTTTTAGTTTTTATTTATGAGATGATTTTTTTGAAACAGGAGGTGGTGGGTTTTTTGGTTTGTTTGTTTTGTTTTATTTTGTTTTGAGAGTATTTCCATTTGTCTCTGACAGCTAGGGGAAATTCTTTCCGGATATCGAATTTTAATCTTTGACTTGAAGCTTTTCCAAATACTGAGGCAGTGTACATTTGTCCTCTGGATATTGGTGAGGGTTGGCTTGTGGTTCTGAATTCTCATTGATGATTTTTCCTTTTTGTTCAGCATTAGGTTTTGAGATACACAAGTTTCCTTGCAAACCTCTGGACTTTTGGACAGAGTCCAGACTATTTTTGGTTGCCTGTTAAACTGAAGGTTTATCTCTTTGGAGTTACAACCTGTAAAACCTCTTGAGTCTATGAAAATTGAGGCTTTCATTTACCTAGTTAGGCAGATGATCTCAGAGGGTGAAAGTGTTCTCCTTCTTTGGGTTGTCGTTTTTGATTAGATTTTTTTCACTTGAGAATTTCTTTTATTCTTTCCAGTTTATTGTTTTTTAAGAACACTTAAAAATATTTATTACATACTGGATTATTATTTTCTTTTTTTTTAAGATTTTACTTATTTATTTGACAGAGAGAGCACAAGCAGAGGGAGAGAGAGGGAGAAGCAGGCTCCCTGCTGAGGAAGGAGCCCGATGTGGGACTCGATCCCAGGACCCTGGGATCATGACCCGGGCCGAAGGCAGCCGCTTAACCAACTGAGCCACCCAAGCGTCCCTGGATTATTATTTTCAACAAGTTGTTCTAGGTGTTTAGCCCACCATATTACCAGAAAGAGAAGTAAAAACATATTTGAAGCTGAACTATAGTAATTATACTGGCCTTATTTGGAACATATTTGCATTGTTCTTTTCATTGGTCCAAGATTTTCTTTATTGTCTGTGTCTTTGATTATGCTGATCCCTTCCATTACTTTTCTTTTTTATTACACTCTGTCTATTCAAAACCTACCAACTCTAATATATCAATGTTCTCTGTGTGTATTTCTGACCTTTGGGACTATGTTGTAATACCTGAAGAGTCAGGGCAGTTACTTTTGTATTTTTAACTCATTTTTTATTTGGTTAGTAAAATTAAGGTGCCCAGTAAATCTTTGATTTAATATATATTTGGCCAAGTAGTGTATTCCACAAGTTTATAATAGTATTATCTTAGCAATATTCCTAAGCAATGATAGCATTTACTCAAATCTGTAATAAAATATTTTTAAAAACCAAAGCAAAGTTGATTTAGTTTCCTCACTCAAGAAACTGAAAGAGTTGATTAACATCTTAATTTGAAAATCCTCAAATGTGTCCATATGTAAACACTGGAATGTGTAGGTTTTACTTCACTGTAAGATTTTATAGAAGCATTAGATTTGTTCAAAAACCGAAATTATGAGTCACTTAAGCAAAACTTAGATGCTTATGTTACTAGAAACTTGATATATCGTCTGAAAAGATGGTTATTCAAAAAATCATTCATCACTTAATGCTCAAAGTTCATTCATCATGAGTAAGTACTTTATGTCATTTTTTAAAAAAAACAACCCACTAAACTTTATCAGAGATTCAAATTACTGCAAGGCGCATTGTGATAAGTCCATATGGTACATTTTGCAACTAACAAAAGAAGAAGGAAATAACATCCTAATCTGTTTCATTCATTCATCTGCTCTCTTTATTTCATTCAGGAGGATTTTCAACAGAAAGAGCTCCAGTGATGGTAGAAGCTGCAGAAATAATGTTGGGAATGCATTATTGGATGCAAATGTTGGAGAAGAGTGAGGAGCCTAAGTAATTCTTCCTGTTGTGCTTTGCATAACTGAGCCTATGTTGTTCCTATTAGAAAGAGAGGTTTTCCTATACTATTTTCTGTAGGAAAAAAAGAACACAGAGGTTTTATTTTTTGCAGTGGAAGACTCAGATTAAACTCCCACACAAAATAATATAACTTTATAGTGTACCAAGGCAATTTAATGAGCAGCACTATCCAATAGAAATATATTTCAAGCTAGATATGTAATTTTCAGTTGTCTAATTGTCACATTAAAAAAATAAAAAAAAACAGGTAAAACTAACTTTTATGCTATATTTTATTTTACCCAATATATCCAAAATATTAGTTCAAAACATAAGATATTTTACATTCTCCTTCTTTGTACTAAGTCTTCACAATCCAGTATGTATTATACACTTACAGCATACCTTAACTGGCATACTAATTGGAAATATTTTATCTGAATTTAGATTTCATAAAATATACAACAGAAAAAATAGATTCATATTTGTTTCAAAAATACTTGAAATTTTCTGATAACTGAAATGAATATCATTTGTAAAATTTAAGTCTAAATCAATTAACATTACATAAAATCAAATATCTATTTTAAGTGTTCAATAGCTGCACATGGTTGGAGGCAACTCCATTGGACAACAGGGCTCTAAACCAGTGTTAGATACAAGAAATGAAATCTTATTTAATATATACAAGTGAGGTTAAGCTCACGTTACTGATAATGACTTGGTAAACTAATAATTTATATAAAATTAAACACACAAAGCAATTTTTATAGTCATCTTGTCCTCAAGACTTAAAGTTCTGGGCTAATTTTGACAGGAGCATAGATGCAGTGACTTGTTTTAGATTTGCTATTTCCAGGCTAATCAGAGTCAGAGCTCATAATCAGCAACAACAGAACAAAATCTGGGTTAGGAGCAAGGCCTGGGTCAGAACCCCAGAGTTCGGAGGTCTAGGAAGAGGTGAGGCATCAGCAACAATGTAACAGATAAAAAGGGTTTGCCTTTCACCCCAGAGGTTCAGAGTCTTGTAAACCCTTGCTGCCCATCAGCCTGCTGTGTACGGTGTCAGATCAAGGGAAATATCTATAGCTGGTAGGCAACCCAATAATCAACACTGTCTGTCTATCTATCATCTGTCTACATATCTATCTATCTGTCTATTTGTCTATCATTTATAATCGATCTTGCAAAGAACCAAACTGCGTCTTCTAGGTTTCATGTTAGAGGTGACTTATCCAAGATACCAGATGAGGTATTTTGATATTGTAGCATTACAGGTAAGATGTGGACTAGGCAAGAAGAGACCGTATACACACCTGCTAAAATTCCCAGTTTGTTTAGCCAAGAACAAAACCAAGAGCAAGGTCATTATATGGAACAGAAACAGAAGTCACATATCTTTGCATAGTTTTTCTCTTGCCCCTTGTTCTATATGGGGCAACTGTAGCTGGTGAACTTTCTTCACAGCTAAGATATTGCCAGAGTGAAAACGAAGGTGGGTTTTTGTCAGACACTGCTCTTTTTATTGGGGCTTGTAACACTGCAGAATTATATGAACACTGTTGGTAATTCCATTTAAAGAAATGTCTGCAAACATGAGACTTTTCTAGTTCCTTAATCAACTGAGGCATCAGCAAGTCCCTGTCCTTGTTTTCAAGGCCCAGTCAGCCCTAGACATAGCCCCGACCCTGTTCTCTCGGTGACCTGGGAAGTTTATCTCTCTATAGACATGTTGTCCAACTTTGCTGATGTTGTTTCTCCTGGTAGTTTCTTTTTATCATTTGACCAGAATATAAAATGGAATCTGGGGGAAAGAAGGTGGGGGAGAACCTGAATTGACTATCACCTAGCACATTGGGTACTCAAAATAGAAATTAAATTCAGCCATAAAACAGCAAATTGTTTTTCTTGAACCCCTGAGTTTGTGGACCCACGATTATTCACACTTGTTACAAGTTAAGTCTGTTCAGAATTTCCAGGTATCCTCATGGCAGCCATCTCTGCACCATAGACTAATTGTAAACCCTGGCCCCAAGTTAGCCTAGAAGCAATGGATGTTATCCTCTGAGGCCTTTAGTGTGTAGAGATAAAGGGGATTCAGAGGTTAGTAAGGATTTCAATGAAAACTTTAGTGTGAAAGAGAGCTATATGATGTCTTAAATTTCCCTAGTAATGGAAATCCTAGATTCGGGAGAAATGGTAAAGGAAGAAAGGGAGAAATATGAAAGACTAATTTTGAGGCTGTTGGGTACTTTGAATTTCTAAAATAGCCAAATCTCTTCCTGGCCAAGGAGGAGTCCTTCCAGCAGCATCAGCTATACTGACCTGCCCTTCAATCTGCCTACATATATATATGGGGAGAGGCATCTATTGCATGTTTTTTTCATTCCCAGCAATTACTTTTCTACTTGTTCTCCCTCTATTTAGGTAGAATTTGTGAAGCATCCACTGTTACAGGACAGAGTTGTAGCACCAAAGCAGAGACAAGGATTTTGGGGTTTTGAAAATCTAGGCTATTGAGTATCAAATGTAAAGATCATATAGGACTTCGGTAAACAACAGATTTGGAAAAATATGCATTTTATTCATAAGAATCTTTTTCCACCGGGGTGCTTGGGTGGCTCAGCTGGTTAAGCGTCCTACTCTTGATTTCAGCTCAGGTCATGATCTCAGAGTCATGAGATCAAGCCCCACATCAGGCTCCATGCTCGGTGAGGAGTCTGTTTGAGAGTCTCTCTCTGCCTTTCTCTCTGCCCCTTCCCCTCACCTGTGCTCTCTCTCTAAAATAAATAAATGAATAAATAAAATCTTTAAAAAAAAAAAACATCTGCTTCCACCAACTTAAAGACTAGGTACATGTGTCTTTTCCAAAACTAAAGGCAAAGGAAAGAGGAAAATCTGTGGAACCACAAGACAGTTCAGGTTTTGTTGAGCCTTTGTGAAGAGACATTGAGTCTCCTAGTATTGGACAAAGACTTGAAAGGTGAGAGAGAACAAGATGACAGTGACTTGGACAGTGTGAAAGCAATGGAGGTGGTGGAAAAGGGTCAGGTGCTAGATATATTTTGAATGTGGACACAACAGAGTTTGTAGAAAGATTGGATGAATGTTGCAGAAAGAGGGTGGGAGTCAAGGATGACTCCAAGGCTATTGACTGGAACAATAGGAAGGAATCGCTATTATCAGAGATAAGGAAGGCTATAGGTGAAAGTGTATATTTTTGGAGGTAGGTGGGTGTGTGTATGAAGATCAGTGATTTAATTTTAGGCAAGTTAAATATGAAATGGTTAGTAGGTATCCAAAGAGAATAGTGCAGTAGGCTGGTAGTGAGGTTGGGATTAGAGAGATAAATTTGGGAGTCAATGTCATATAGATGATGGGACTGAATCAGGTCACCAAGGGAGTGAGTAAGGATAGAGAAGAAAGGAGGACCAAAGAATAAATACTGTGGCATTTTCTAAATTTTGAGATGTGCAAAAGAAAAGTAGGAGGAGGAATCAGACAGGTAAGAGGAAAACCAGAAGCTTCTCTAAATACACACCTACTCAACAATCCCATACCCTAACACATTTGTGTTCTGGTGATACCTACTTTACTTGAAAGGAGGCCATTCTTTAGAATGGGAAGGTAGGAAAAATGGAAAAAATATTAATAGAACACTTCTTTCCTCTACCACTCCCCATGCCTCTGGTTTCTCAGGAAGATACAAGTTTTCGTGAGCAGATTGTCTTATGATATCCTTAGGTCTGGTTCAGCATCTGCTTTGGCAGATCCATCCTTTGGTCTCCTGCCTGCCTTCTCCATGAGTCACTGGTACAGTTTTCTTTGGATTAGTAAAGTGCCTCTTACAATTCAAGTCCAAAAGATGAATACCCCAAATCTTCCATATTTTGGAATTGTCTCATTCTACCATTTCCAGAAATTTTTGCAGCTCTTGAACTGTTTTCAGTCATGAAGCTTTCTAAATGTATTTCAAAAAGGGTATCCCATTCTTGATGGATTTTCTGCTTCTGTAATGAACTTGATTCAGTTAAAACAGATAATGTTTCTCACTCTTGTTCCCTTGTAGTAACTTCCTATTTAGGAATGCTTGAATTCTATATATAAATAGCTCATGTTAGGAGATTATTACCAAATCTATTGATTTAGTATCTGAAATGAACATTATTTGAAATAAGATAGGTTATTTAGGATATAAATGAGGATTAGAAGGCATGCCATCTTCTAGTATCTTAAGGAGGAACACTTTATCTGTATAAGAGAGCCCTTGGGCACAGTGGCTCAAATGGATGCTTCAGAAGCCTTAAAGTAATCAAATGGATTCTAAGATACGTTAGAAGAAGACTTCCAGAGAATGAAATGCCCTTCACTGGTTTGACTGATAAGGCAAAACTAGTAAATATCAAAGGCAGTCCCTACCTTGCAGTCCTTTGGGTTTTCTTTGTACTTCATTCTGAACTTTTTTGACATTGGAGAAAAGTAAATTTAAGAGCTAGCCTTTTACAGAAGGACAGAACAATTGCTCTCCTTCTTATGCACAACTTTAGTGATAAATATATCCAGGACACAGATAACTAGCTCTGAAAATAAGGACAGTCTTTCCTAGTGTCATTTATTTGTGTATTGTACAAATGTGTGTCTTTCAGTGCATATAGAAGTGTTATCATTCTACAAAAACAGACAATCAAAAGAAGTGTCATTCCTTTGACCTCTGGAAAGGACCGGATTATATCTCCTTCATGTACTTTGTATGCCTAAGCCCAATATCCTACTTATACTTGGATTAAAATATAACTTAATGATGATATTATGCTTGGATAAATTAATGATATTTAATATTGCACAGAGCATAATAGGTATTTATTTGGGAGAAACAGAGAACTTTTCCTGTTTTGATCAATATTTCTATACAAGTAAATAATGAGGATGATTTCTACATCTTTTCTTTGCAGACACTGCCTTTAAGACTTAGTTAAATCTTTAGAAGTATCTTGTGCACTGTGACATAGTCTGTGGCCCTGGAGTCTGACCATTGTGGTGTTTGCCAAGCAGGCACAAAGGTTAATTGAAAATCTGTAATAGCTACAATACCATACGACAAAATCCTCCTAGCTATTTTCTTCATATATAAAGGCT